CTGCTTTAGACACTGGAACACGAAACATCAGTTCAGATTAGTTCATTCTGGGTTCAGTTCAGTTCATTATGGGTCCAATCTATGCAGTTTAGAAAATCCTGCAAAGACTGAATCGGTTCCACCTTGGGCATTTTGAACCTCTGTACTTAGCCATTAAATTAAAAGTTAAACTCCCATCCAAAAGTTGCCCCCCTCTTTACTTCCAGGGGCAGTGTAAGGTATCAATTCACTACCCTGTTCATAAGTTCAAGGACAAATGCAAGTGAAGGAGTTCTTCTTATTTAGACACTCTAGAAGATGCCAGTTATTGTTGTACTGTATTAATTACACCTGGTATAATTATCTACCATAGACAAAGATGCAGAATCAGTACAAAACCGGTAACCTGGCTTTGTGCTTTGGTGCACAGAGGCTCTGCTTTGGAAAATATGGAAAGCAAAGATTATGACTATCTCTAGCCACGAAAAATCTGAGATCATAACCATTTTTTTTTTTTTAATCACAAAAGACCTGAAACCCTTTTCAGATATTACCTTTGTTCTTTTGGCCAAATTCCAGTTCAGGCAATAATATCTTATCACTCCTCAAGTTTCACTAGGGGACAACACTTTCAGTTCACTTTCTAAGCAGTTGTGTAGTATTCCTGTGAACTGGTTACATTTGCTGAACCAGATCCTCAGCTAATGTAAATTGGCATAGTTCAATTAAGGGAAATGAAGTTGTGTGGACTTCATACAAGCCGAAGATCAAATTTACTGTGCTTTACCTAAAATGTGAGCCCTACAAAACAAGGATCTTTTGGGCCTTGAAGAATTCTATGAAACATATGGCATTATTTTCATTAGTGGCTTAAATATATCTTGTTAATCTGCTTGGTGGTAGAAACTGTCAGAGTTAAATGGTACTTTTTGGTTAATATCCTATATAAAGAGTCTGATTCTGGCAGTAAAACTACAGTTGGTGTTGGTGGGGAAAATATTTTATTTTAAAATTAAAATATCATAAATTTTCAAAATATAGGGTAGGGAAACTGTGAGATTTCCTTCTCAGCAGGCACCAAACAGCTCTCTAACTTTTATCACAGATAAATAGGCAACTGTATGAAGAAAAAAAAAGTTATTTATTTTTTAAGCGATGGGAGCAGGAAGAAAAATACTAAGGTTCTTTTCTTTATATTCAGAATTCTTAGATATTACTAAATTTTGCGATGGAGCTATAATGAACTTTATCAAGTTTTTGCTGAAAATGCATTTAATTTAGCAAATATTTCCTAAGAAAGAATCTAGCTTTGTTATGAGCTGTGTTTATATCATTAATCTGGGCAAGCATCTCAAGTTGTCAAGTAGATAGTTCATTACCATTAATATTTCTGTGCTGAATGGGGAGCAGATGAAGCAGTCACTCAGTAATCACACCACTATTTCTTCTAAGTCTATAAAGAATTCTATGGTCACCTAGCTAAGACTCAAACCTTTCATTTGTGCTCATTCTGCATATTGTGCAAAGTTGTTTGGCAGCAGCAGCAATGACAGGTAACAGTAGAAATGATGCCCAGGATCTCATAGACTTTGAGAATTAGCAGAAGATTAATGTCAGTAATTGGCTTTCTTATTTGTCAATTGCAGAAGGAGCATAAAAGGATAGCTGCCCTTAAATTACAAAAATAGAGCAATCAACACTTAGTCTATGGCATCATAAATTAAATGCCTCTCTGCTTAAGAAACACCAATGAAGGTAAGATTAGTATTGGCAAAAGGAAACAGGGATCATCACTCACTTTGATATGTGAAGATATATTTTATCTAGTCCAGACAACTTTAAAGTCCCATGATATGTCAAGAGGAATAAAAGCTATTTTAAAAGGGCAAGTTGTGATACAATATGGTTAGAAATTAAACACATCAGCAGAATGGACAGAAAGCTTCAATTTCCCAAATCAAAATGCTTCAAGATGATGAAATTTTAATGGAGTTCATGCTTTTTATTCCCCGCTTTGGAGACTGTTTTAAATGTGGTCCAGTCATCATCACAGAAGGATGATTAATGATGTGTTAAATATTTTAAACTTGTTAACGTGGGCTCGCTAACTGAGCTGCATCTCATTCCATCCTCTGAATCATTCACGAAAGACCCATTTCTTTAGGATTTCAATGATTGCAGTCAAACATGAATAGATTTTTAACCAATTTGCCTCTTTTTCCACTGTTATCCTGCTTTAATTAACTTCTTAGAGGGAAATAAATATTTTTTTAAAGAAAATGCTAAAAGCACTTTTATATACTTTCCAGTCATATTTCTTTTAAAGATATCTGATATAGCTACTGAAATGGGCAACTGCACCATGCAAAGGAAGACATCAAAAGAATAAATGGAGTGGAAGTAAATATTCTAGTGGACACAAAGCTGAACAACTGACCAAGCTGGCCATCTGGTTTGATATTTGACTTTTACATTTCTCTATTGTTTTTAATCAATCCTAGATAACTATGCGTATGATTTGCCCTTAAAAAGAAAGATGAAATGCTTTAAGAACATTTACACAGGATTTTTTTATGCAAGGTACCAATCCCCCAACTGCATCCAAGAAGGCAATATCCTATGAGTCCCTTTGAAATATGAGGGTCCACAAATACAGATCTGATTGTAGGGTTGGAGCTTCAAGGTAATTCATCTATTATTATGACACTGGTATTGCAAAAGAGCTTTCATTTATAACCTTTTGGTTTCACAAGCTAAACTTTGAGACTTAAGTTTTCATTTCAATGAGGTCTCTGCTTTAAAGTAGTTTTTCTTTATTTAATTTTCATCACAATCTTTTCCAATGTTTGAGCTATGGGAAAGTGAAAAAAAACAATAAGCTACATTTCCTGAGTAGTATCAGAGCAAAAATTACTGAAGTTTGGTATTCAAAATGGACCAGGTTCTGGTCTTCCTTACAGCACAGGGAAATTTTGCAATGCTTCCAACCTCATAACAATTTGTGATGGATTATGGAATGTCTCCTAGCACACAGATGAATTGTGTGAGTAAAGGTCATTCAATCCACGACTCACTTTGTACTCAGTGGGTGTGTCTACATGAGACGCTATGTCACCATAGCATTGGCAGGCACTAACCATGTAGTTTTGCAGTAGTTTGTTGCTGCTGTGCAGTAGGGTCAAAAATGACCTGTGCAGTCAGGGGCATGTGTAGACACACCCACTGAGCTTAGAGCAGAGTTTGGTATCAGTAATTTAAAGCTGCAGAAAAAGCATAAGCGATTGCCTTCCCCTAAATGCAAGTGGCACTATGTTACGTGAGCAATGCAGTGATTTGCCACACTGTTTTGCAAGGTGTGTTTTTCTTTGAAATGTAAGAAAGGTACTATGACTGAAGAGCGTTGTTCTATTATCCTTCAGATAAGAGCAATCTGACTCTAGTAGCTGCTAACATGGTATGGGTGGCAATTTATAAACTGAGGAGATGTGTAAGATTCTTTGTTCAAGAGGGCTTTGCTTTCTGGCGATCTGAGGAGGACAAGCACAAATAGTTTTTCTGCTTACTACACATGTAATCCACTTGGCAGACAGTGTTATTACTTTTAACAATTCCAAAAGTTGCTCCTCTCATTTCTAACAAAGGGAGGAATACATTTAAGACAACTGCACAAAAATTAATGACACACATATAATAGGCACAGGATCTCCTCCTGCCACAACTCCACACATCAGCAGCTTCCTCAACCTGATATATAGAAACAAGAGTGGTTAGTTGCTGGCATCAGCTAAAATCAGTGATCTGACCTACTAACTGGAAGAAGAACCAAGGTAATATGTGAGCATTTCCTATGTGGATTATAACTCCTGGGAGGTCACTAGCAGAATATTACCATAAATCCTCACCTACAACACACCCCAGAATATAATATGAAACTTGTTTTTGAAAGGCAGAGTGAAGGGAAAAAAATGGTCCACAGTTATAGAGCAGGATCAGAGCCTAATTTTCAGCTGGCTTATTCTCACTTTTCTGCTGAGACCTTAGCTACTCCTGAAGACTGGTCTCTGTAAGTGGATCTACGATTTTGAAAAGAGCTAACAAGTCTCCAATGCTGTGAATTAGGAGGACAGAAACCAGGAGCAGCTAGGCAGCATTTCTCAACCTATGGGTTGCAACCCAGAAGAATACATGAAAGGGTCACAAACAAAATTTAAAAATTGATTCTCCTCTAAAGGAGAAAAACTGCGTCTTTTCCCTTGCAGGCTGACAGAGTTCCAGCCTTCAAAGGGCTGCTTGGGACTACTTGGCCCCCCCCACACCCCACACACACCCAACCCCTGCTTCACACACTGGGGGGCTAGGGCCCAGAGGCAGAGGGACAACAGGTCAGGAGTGAGGGGCACTGAGTCAGGACTGGTCATCAATGTTTACAGATCAGTCCTGGTACAAAAAACGCTGAAAACCGTAAAGCTAGTGGACTGTAAAATTGCCTTAAGAAAAGTTAGCTTGATTAGTAGAACATCAAGACCATTAAAAAGAAGAGATAATTGTTAACACCCGTGGAGTGAAGAACATTGAGCTATTAAGTCAATTGCCTCCCTCATGCATATAATTAATAGGAACAAGATCAATTTCTACTTAATTGGAGAAAAAGGGGAAAGCATTTTTAAATGAAATATACACGTGTACAATCTAAAACGTACTGACAACATTTTCCAAACCTTTTTCCTGGTATATTCTTGCTATTTTTATTCATTACACAGCTAGCTAAACAATTGTTCACTTGTTAATTGAAAAACCTATTTAATGACTATCATGATATTTTTGAATGCGATGTATTATTTTGTACATTATTCATCCAGCTGTACCGAAGAAATGCAATGGCGTTACTTGTACATTTCAGGAGGGAACCCTACAACAGTTTTTCAGTGCTTAGAAATAAACTGCATGAAGGTGACAGGCTCGGTGAATCAATATGGAAAAGTAAAAATGACAATAGAGACTAAAGATGATTATGTGCAAACCTTTAATTCCTCTTGAATTTTTTCCTCCATCAGTTTGGCTGCTTTTCGATCTTCTATTTCTATTTTCCATTTTTCAGCCACTATTCTGGCTTTTTCCTTAGCCATAGCATCCCGGAATTTCTTTGTAATTTCAGCCTCTTTTTGCCTCCTACAGAAAAGAATTTGAAAATAAAAATAATTGAAAAAAATTGAAAATAATTGAAGTGAAAATCAGCCTTTATTCAGTAGGTAAGCAATAATTACTGACAATAAGTAATATACAAGATTGCATGAAAACATACAGGAAAATAATTCAAATGCATCTAAAATGAAGCACTATGGTCCAAGTTCCAAGCAAATACCCAGCAGGCAGAGCAAATGTAAATAAAAATAGTACTATCTTAGTGATATCTGCTTCCTGAATGTCTTTGAGTCATACCATAACCTGTTTCTTTTCCCGATAAAAAAAACACAAGTTCCCCTATTAGCAATGCAAATTCAGCATAGCAATATGGGAAAGTAATGTGGAATCTTTATTTTGCCTAAATATTAAAAAAACAATCCACTGCTAAATTCCAGTAGTAGAATATGCATTGCCACTGACAATGTAAGAGGCAAAAAGAACACAAATTTGAATACCACATTAAATATGCAAACTAGAAATAGGCAGCAGATAGTTTGGACAGAAAACAAACGATATGAGAAGGAATAAATATAGAATAACTTGTCATTTCAATACCCATTTTTGGAAGCTTTATAATGACCCTATTCTCTCAATGTCACTGAGCATCAGAAAAACCTCTGACTACTCCCAAAGCTATAGACGTCTCTATTAGAAGTATAGTTATGGCAATATGAGTTATACTATTCTTGGACTAAAAATTAAAACTAACTTACAAAAAAGCTAATGCTGTAACAGAATTTATGTACAAAAACCTCCAGTTGTAGCTACAAACTTTTGACAATGGGCATCTCTGATTTAATTGTTATTCAAAAGCAGGTTGGTTAGTTTTATTTGGCAAACAGGTTAATGGTTTTAGGAGTTCATCAGTGCAAATCTAGTCCAGCCAAAGTTATGCGGAGTAGCAGATAAAAATTAGCGATGTAAAAAAGGGATTTTTTAATAAATGAAAAATTGTGGGAATTTTTCCTTGTTTTCCAGTTTTTCAAAGCAAACAAAAATTCCTCCTAAAACATAATTTGTTTCTATATTTTGTAGAAAAGAATTAAGCTGCATTAATTTGAATTAGAAGTGAATACAGCATTTTGTTTTAAAAAAATCTAAATAATCCCATTCAAGTAAAAAATATATACAAGAATATTCTTACCATACTTCCTCAGTATTACCTGCCACCTTTCTAAATGGCTGTGAATGGCAAGAAATCGAGCCTGAATTCAAACTCTTAAATCCTTACCATAATTCTTCTGCCTCCTTCTGTGCTTGCTGCCTGGCTCGTTCTGCAATTAGTTCTTCAGAAATCTGTTCATATGGCTTGTCACCTGTGGCTTCTCCCATAACCCAGACCCAGACCTCATCATCACTTCCATGCAGCCACTGCACACGTTTGCCATTACCTATAACATCCACCAAAATAAGCAGGATAAGGTCTTATAAGGCAGCTAGCTCAGATTCAGAAATAAATACAGGTTAAATTGCATACTGCAGGGGTGTCAAACTTACCTGGGCCCATGGGTCACATCCAAACCACAGGGCTTCTCATGGGAAGTACCTGGTGGCTTGGACATTCGTCCCTGCACTGCTGCTGCTCATCCCACACCCCCAGCCCCACCCCAACCCCGACTCTCACCAACATGTATCCCCGGTGGGGCTCTGTAGTAAGGAATCTGTCAGTAAACCCTGCCTCCACTCACTCCACCCCCAAGTTCCCAGCCCCTCTGGGAATCCCTCAGGACATACCTCACAGGACACCTCTGGCATAATGGAATATTAAGCCTAAGATTTAAATTCACTTATTAAAAGAGGCTTAAGGCAGTTGTCCAGGCCCAGCAACACAGGGACAGCCACACTGGGGACCTAGAGAGGTAGCACAGGACCCACAATGGCATTTTCCTCATCCACAACTGTGCCCACACCCATGCCTGCCAAGTGGGACCCCAACTGGTCCATGGAGGAAACTGATGATCTCGTGGTACTGTGGGGCAAGGTGGAGGTGCAGTGTCAGTTTGAGCAGGGTGGGCACTCCAACACCCATGTCTATGAGGGGCTGTCAGCCTGGATGTGGGAGCATGGGCATGACTGGCCAGCATGGCAGTACCACATAAAGATCAAGGCCTTGCAGGTGCGGTAGGTATCCATCAACAACCACAATCAGTGGTCGGGGAGTGCCTGTAAGTCCATACCCTTTATGAGGCAACTGATGGACATACTCATGCCCTGGGACCCAGGCTACAGTTTTCCTGTCTATAGCAGCATGAGTGGCCTGCCCAAGCCCCTGTCCCAGCCTGGGAAGGCCCCTTGGGTGTCCAGCAGCACATTCCACTGAGCTCCCCAGCTGCACCCTCCACCAGCTGCTTGGAGAGCCCAAGACAGCACCACAGCCCCAGCTCCCACCATGAAGCACAGCTGGCCATGACACCACCAACCACCAGCAATGCCAGCTCCTCCCCAAGGGGAGGGGAGAGGGCCCAGCTGGGCACCTTTCCACTGTGCCCTGCTGTCCGAGGACACTGCCCAGAGCCACATGCCACTGCCAACAGCTGTGGCCACATGGAGCCACCAGCCACACCAGCCCCACTCACATGGTAAGCCCTGCTCTGGGGGGAGGGCCCTCCCCACACCAGCCCCCAGCCCCTGCCCTCCCTTTTGGCCTGGCCTGTCTGCACTCTCCTGGCCCCAGGTTCCCTCCCCCCACCAACCCCCCACAGCATGCAGAGAGATGGGAGATACTGCCAAACTTTATTGAGCAGCCCATGCCCGCACAGCTAGGTGGGCACAGGCCTCACAGGCCAAGGAATGCATCAATGCTGATGGTAATATACTCCTGTGACGGCCAGAACCAGAGGGATTAATAAGTAATAAATATGTGCTTCTTAGAGGCATTTGGTATTTTGCCTTAACAGGTAATATTAGTTAATATAAAGTTTGTAAGTTTGTAAACCGCAAATGTAACTTGTCTGTCATAAATTTAACCAAAATGATAAAATTAACTGTTTGTAGAACTGACGGGGCCCCATAGGCAAAGCTGTAGATGCAAGATTAGCTGACCTAATGGTTTCTGCTCAGGGTTCAGCTTTAACGATAAAAAACTGGATCCAACTGCCTGGCACACCCAACACATTCCAGGAAAGCATATTCAAAGAAAACCTTAAAGGGGTTGGGGCTTAGGCAGAGCAATGTCAATTTCAAACCTAAAAGTGCTACATTGTAATTTGCTTATTGGATAAAACTGAGTCTAGGTAGTAACCTTTTATGATAATTTTTAACACCTTTCAAGCCCATAGGACAGCTATAGGGTAACATTGTGAGTGACTCTAAAGCCAACAGATTAGCATAAGACTAGGTATAAAAAGCACATGCATCAGGTGACCAGCAGGAAGGAGGGAATGGAACGGTCATTTCTGTTCCACGCCCAGACCCCAGACTCCCGGTGTGAGTGAGGATCGGATCCTGATCAAGGGATCTTCCCCGTTAATTCCTCTGACAACGTCAATCGGGGACACCTGACTTCGCTGGAATCACTTGATGCATACCTGGCATTGAGGGACTATCAATAAGTTGCCAACCCATGTCTGTCTATCTGTTGTTTTGAACAGCTCAGTGGCTAATACCCTCGCAGTGCCCAGTTGGCCTGTGACAGAATTGATCTATCTGTTGTTATTATTTGCTTTTTACTATTAGCTCTTCAATACTACATTATCTGCTTATCACATTTGTCTCTCTGTTAACTGGTGTGTGTGTGTAAGCTATAATAAATTTGCCTTTACTCCACCCCCAACTTTGCCTCCTCAATCCAAAACTGAACCAAACAGCCCAGTTGGCCTGTGATAAAATTGATACACTCACAGTGTCCAGCTGGCCTGTGACAACTCCTTGGCTGCAGGGGGCAGGGATGTGTAGCACACCCACAGGTAGCTCTCCAGGAAGTAGTAGAGGTTGCAGGGCAGCCCAGGCCTGCCTCCCACATCATTGTGGCTCAAGGTCCTGTACCAGGTGCACAGGTGCACCCAGGGCACTATTGCCAGCAGCAGCAGCAGGGCATAGTGGGTCAGTGCCCCTCAGTCCACACAAAAAGCTCCTCATGCACCACCCAGGGCATGAACAGGAGAGGCACATTCAGGGCACAATGGCAGCATGGGGGGGTGTCTCCCTAGAGAAGACCCCTGTGGGGACGATGGGGAGATGGGAAGCTCCTCATCCCAGTCTTCCCAGAGAGCCACATACCCGAAGCCTGGCAACTATAGGCTGGGAAGCAGCACAGCAGAGTGGTTGGCCTGCTGGAGCGGGGGGAGAGGGAGAGGGGTCTGGAGCCATGGCAGCAGGTGCTGTCAGAAGCCTGTCCTGTCCCACCCTGGGAATGAGGCAAGGGAGGCAGACTACCCATGGCCAACACCCAGTGGCCTGCTGGCCCCAGGGGAGTGAGCAGGGACAGGGTCTTGGATGGTGGCCACCTGGGCCCAGGCCTGCTAAGCCAATTTACTCTGGTCCCTGGCCACCTGTGCACACCTGGCTCTGATCTGAGGTTGGGCACTACACGGCCCCTGGTATAGAGCATTTTATCTCTGAAATGTTGCAAACTCTCACAAACAGCTTCTGTCTCATGGCTCTACAGGACCTACAGCTGCACTCAGTGGAGAAGCCGCACTTGGCAGCTGGAATGCAGCCTCAGGGCTGCCACCACCAAGGGCTGGAATCCAGCAGATATGCCTGCTCCACCAGAGGAGGACCCTAGACAGGTGGATGCAAGTGTAGGTGGATGCAAGTGTAATGTCTGTATGTACCCAAAGTAATTATTTGTAAAGGATAGCTCTAATAAAGCTAATTAAATGAAAATATTTCAAAATGCCTCACACATCAGTTTCCTGCAAAAAAAAAAGATATTTTTGATGAAATGCCAGTTTCTTTGTGATTATTTTCAGTTTAAATATTTCAACAAGCTCTAACAAGAAAAGACCATAAAAGCTTAAAATCTAAACAGACAAAACAGAGAAAAAGGCAGAATTTTTATCCCCATTTGAAAAATGGCTTACTGAAATCATACAGGAAGTCTGGTTCAAAGTCAGGGATTAAAAATCAGGTCTACCATGCCCTAAACCACTCTTAACCACAAGAGTTCTCTCTTCCATCCCAGCCTGTGGTAGGCTGCAAAATAATCTTCCACAGGAAGTAATGAAAAATTAGACTGGCTAGAACACTTAAACTAAATGCATTATAAGGAAAATACTGTTTAAACATGGGAATGGACTGGATAAATTACCAGATCTCTATATCTCAAATATTTAGGTTCTAGAATTTAACAGCTTTAGTCCTCTACCATTTATTCATTTAAAGAATTCACTCAGTCATAGGCACTAGGATAAACTCCTGCAAAGCAAATTATTTCTGTTAACAAACTTCTCTCTGCTTGTTTTCCACTTCCTGTAAAAATCTACACTGCTGGCATGGCTGTAAATTTTTTTCTTGGTTTTTGTCCTGTTAACTCAACCTATCTTTTTGTCCTGCCCACTCAACCTATCTTTGGTATAACATACAACCATCCAATAATTGCTGCACTAAAGAGTCTATATTTATAACTTTCTGCAAACATAAAGCTACACTTAATGTGCATGAAAATTTGTATGCTTATTATCGCAAACATGCACACAGAAGCTTGTCATTTGAACCATGGCATTTGTTAGACTTATACAGCAATTTCTATGATAGATTAATGGAAACTGATTTTGGCTTGAGTTCACAGCAAAAAAACTATAAAACAAGACCTTAGAGACCAATAGTTAGCTCAAAGAGCTTGCCTTTAAGAATCATTCGTCTTCACCTTGCCAATTTAAGATATAATTTTAGGCAACTGTAGATTGCACTTGGCCTTGAAGCCATACTTTGGATATCCCTAGTGTAGATAAGAAATGCTAGGATTATGGTTAAGAACTGCCAGAAAAATATGGAAACTTCTATCAGACATATAAACACAACCTGAAAGGTAATGGGGGGGAAGCCCAGTATTCAGTGGGTGCATCTACACGTCACTGTATGGCAGTGTTGCTACGGCACCATGCTTTAGTACTACCTTTATGGAATTACTAAAGCACAGTGCAGTAGCGGCATACAAGTGCTGCATGCTTAGATTTGCCTGCTATGTCACTGTAGCGACATGCTATAAGTGCAAAGCGCACCGCTACAGTGATGTAGTAGGTGATCATGTGTAGATCCACATGATCTCTGTCACCATAGTACACCATACGGCAACATAGCGTATTGCTATGTCATCATACAGCGATGTGTAGGAGCACCCGGTGAGACACAAACATCTGGGCTTAAATTTTAAGCTATCTTTTCCATATTGCAGAAAGGAATTGACATTCATTGAAATTCATGAGAAGCATCTATTTCTTTCACTGTT